GCTCCCGGACTGCCCGGAGCGCCGGTCCCAGGCCTTCTCCGGCAGCCATCCCGGCTCTCCACATGCCCCGGCGGGCCCTCCGCTTCCCGTCACGATCTCCCTCTCCCCCACCTTCGCGCCGCTTCCGCCACACATGAAGCGGCCTCTCCTCCTTAGCCAATCCGGCGCACGGAACGGAACCCGCCCGGCCAATAAGAGGAGGCGGTGGGGGCTCAGCGGAGGCGGGACCGAGACTGCGAGCGGAGCCGGTCTCCGGCCATTTTGGAAAGGTCGGGAGATTCCCCCCCACCGAGGTGGAGTGACGCATGCGCCACGAGCGACAGCTTCGAAGGACGGCCGGAGAAAATGGCCCGTTGACTCGTCAGGAGGAGTAGGAGGTTCTGCGCGTAAACCTTTTTCTCATCGCCGCCTTCCCCCCCCTACGTTCACATGGTTATTGATAGCTTGGCTGTTAAGGAACCAGGGTTGGTTGTTGTGTGAAAAGAGACCCCGTCACAGATCTTGCCGGTCCTGCAATGCATACCTGAAAAGTTCGTTGGAAGTAGGGAAAACTGTAACAAAAAGTTGCAGTGCTGTTGGATTCTCACAGGCTTGGTGCTCTTGAGCAACAGAGCCAAGACACCCTCTCCCTTTCAAAGAACATTCAGCGTCATCAGCATCTCCCATTTATCCCAATGCCTATTCTGTAGAAATTGTTCAGAGGGCAGCACTAAAACAGCCCACAGTGCTTTAGAAAGCAAGTAGTACTGTATATCTTTTGACCAAAAATGCCATCGATAAATGAAACATTATAAAAATGACATTTTAAGACATCAAACAATGTACTTACTGAAATTCTTTCTGCCATGTGCAATTACTCCCTCTTCGCTAGGATGGCTACATACACATCCCTCCAGCTGTTACAACTGTAATCAACCACAAGAAATAATTAAAAAGCTTCTTAAATCTACAAACTAAGCTCAGAAACCACAACTCTAAAAGCAAACTCTTCTACGGCATTATATCATAAAGGGTGTGTTACTTCCACCCAAGAAGTCTCCTGACTGCACTTAGATCCCTCTTCTGCATGGCTGTTTTAGGTCACAGTGGCCACTTTTTTGTATTGCTTTCTCATCACCACTACTCCAACAAAAGATAGTCACAGAACTGAAAACTACTGTTTCTAGTCTACCATGGATAATTTTATTTCAGAAATAGTTAGATCTTTGAAAAATGTGTTTAGTGTTTGAAAGAAAGTGGAAAAGGAAGCCGGGATGATCTGCACACTCCAGGTCTAAACATGAATGGTTTGGTGCCATTGTAATTAGCTTCTGGGCAAGAATACATCACCGGTGCAGTGAAAGGCCCAGAGTGGTTAGATCTCAGAGACTTTTGGATTCACAGGAACAATGACAGCATTTGTCGCCTAACAGGCTTAATTTTTGCTCTCTCAGCTTGACTGAAATTTTCATACTACTTGAAGAAACAAACTGCTTCGCCAGGCAGGAGAGCTGTTTCCCTGCCCTGAATGGGGTTACATTCCCCCTAAGGGACAGGGTCCGCAGCCTGGGGTGCTCCTGGATCCCAGTCTAAGTCTGGAAGCCCAGGTGGACTCGGTGGCCAGGGGCGCCTTCCTTCAGCTGCGGAAATTGTACCAGCTACGGCCCTACCTGGACGAGCGGAGTCTCATGACAGTTACACATGCACTGGTAACATCCCGCATAGATTACTGCAATGCGCTTTATGTGGGGCTGCCTTTGAAGATGGTCCAGCGACTGCAGCTGGTCCAGAATCGAGCTGCGCGGCTGGTGAGTGGTGGGGCCACTATGGGACACATCAAGCCGATTCTGTTTAAATTACATCGGCTACCAGTTGCTGCCCAGGGCCCAATTCGAAGTGCTTGTTTTGACATATAAAGCCCTAAACGGCTCCTTTTGAAAGAGCCATCCCTTAAGGAGGTAAGAGGGATGGCTTGTAAACAAAGGGCCTTTTCGGCAGCTGCCCCCAGACTATGGAATGCCCTCCCGACTGAGATTCGTCTGGCGCCGACACTGATGACTTTTTGGTGCCAGGTCAAAACCTTCCTGTTCCAGAAGGCTTTTAATTGAAATAATATCAACTGTGGGTCCTGATGGCAATTTTTAGAGTATATATTTTAATTGTATTATAATTGTTTTATCTTCTTTATTATATTTTAATTGGTGTAAGCCGCCCAGAGATCTTTCGGTAGAGTGGGCAACATACAAGTTAAACAAATAAACAAATAATATGCTGCAGTGGTCTACCCTGTTGTAATGTAAAGCATTTTTGGGAGTGGCCTGGTCTTGAATGGACCTTTAAGGCCCGTTATCTTTACTATTCCTGGTGGAGAATAAACATTCTAGAACTGGATGCTTGATAAGGATCAACAGGCTCTGCTTGGCAGCATGGCCTGTACTGATCACAGCCTAATATTAAAACATTACCCTCATCCACATGTAGGACAAAATACGCCAGCTCCATCCTAGGCTCCTCAGCATCCAAATCTTATTACCATTTAATCGACTAAAACTCTCTTTAATAATGAACAATTCTCTCGTAGGTACGGTCAATGCAGTGGTAAAGATCCTTGCAGTCAATTGCCCATTGTAAGAGACAGTACAGATGAAATTAATCAATGAATTAACTGAAGCAACTTCTTACATTGACGAGGCTAGATTTTTTTTTTGGTAAAAAAACCACACAACCCTATCCAGCTCTTACTCTTACGTTAATTAGTGGCATAGTGGAATTAGGGCTCACAAAGTTAAAATACTGTACAAACCTTTTGATGAGGAAGGCTGTTGATCTAATCTGCCACTAGCCTTAGGTCATTATTCCCCTATGGCTTTAGGTGCAAGGTGAACTTCCCCAGGATCGTTATATTACTGTGATTGACCCCTTTTGTAATACAACATTTTGAGGGTGACTTAGTCGTGCCTGGCAGTTTTACATTTTTACAAAAGACCTCCTGGCGGAAAACAGAACTGATAGCTTGACCAACAGAATTTGCTGCGTATTTTGTTCTCTTCTTGGGGGCATAACTGTGGCAATGTTCATGTTGAGCACCTGCACTTTGGAACATCAACACCAGTGCTGCCACTGCTGCATCCCCATCTAATTCACTAAAACCCCAGCAAAATGTACATTGGCGTCTATTGCCTTGCCTGATCCTGTCAATCTACATGCAAAATGCAGCGGTTTAATAACTGCTAGCACTAATCCTAAAAACAGAGAATGGTTTATTCAGTCATTACAAGAAACATAGTGAAAACATACAGGCAGGTTTAGTCAGGTACATAATTGCAAATGAAACAATCCCGAAGATAAGAAACATAGCGTTCAAGACAGTGACACTGACCAATTCCTTCCTTGATAAAACAAGTTGGGGTGTTTGCAAAATCTGCTATCTGCAAAAAGTGTTACTTTGTTCAATGGAAATACAAAAAGAAATATAAAAAGTTAATCGCTCAGAATCTGAAGAGCAGCCATTTGAGAAAACTCCCATTTTCAGAAAGCAGTGATCACACTAAAATAAACAATTTCCCTTGCTAAATTGCATTTCTAGTACCTAAAAGGCTGGACAGAATTTTTCAGGAGAAATCTACATCTTATTTTTCACATTTATATTTGCAGCTCTTCATCAAATAGTGGTATTAGGTCTTGTTTAATAAATTTCTACAGAAAAAGAATCCAAAGTGTAATATATTCTTATCAATCATTTCACATCAGTCATATAAAATGTCATACGATACACTTTGGCTTTGCTGGAATTTAGCGTGCTACTTTTAAAAAAAGAGTGAGTTAAGAAAAGCAATCCCACATTTTTAATTAAAATTTTTTTAAAAATCTGATGAAACCACTTCTACAAGTTTCATCCATATTTTCTCCCAAATCTTCTCTTACGGTACTTTCCTATGTGTGCATAATCATATGTACAATAGATAATGTAAAAAAACCCAGAAAAGTGTTTTTCTTCTATTGTAATAGTGGCCGGAAGAAATACAGATTCAACTATAGATCAAGTTTAGAAGGTAAGAATGAGGAAGAGCTACAGACCCCTTTTACCGCCTACCACAATTTAAGCCATTCACCAGTAACTTCCTGTACCATAAATTGACACATACCATCAAGTAGTTTCTGAGGAGTAAAACAAGGAACTACTCAAACTGAGAAAAAAAGCTTTCTGAAGGAAGCAAGATCAAAGCAGAAGTGGAAGCTTAGCTCTGTATAATTGTGTGGAATGTTAATTTCCCACTCTGATGCAAGGTAGCACAGGACCACAGCCCCTCTGCAGCCAAACAAATGCTGCTCAACTTCTGCTTGGAAGCTAAATATGCTTGAATGGAAGTGGGAGAAGATCAAAAGAAAGAATATATCTTCAAACATGCATTGATTCCCCCCCCCCATTACATTCTACACATTTTAGAGTAAGGGTTCTACCTTCATCCCCAAACAGCACAATCCATGGCCAAGGATCAAAGCTGTTTTAGTCAAATGTTTGGAGGTCCCACGTTCGCAACCTCCAATGCAGAATGAAAGCAGAATGAACGACATTGCTGGAGACATCGAAGGTACAGTTTGGTAATGGCCCACAGTACTGTTATGCCTTCACAAGATCACATTCTAATAGTATGTAAAAGAAATTAACTCTGTGTCATACTTGACTGGAAGCATTTGCTTAAGAAACCCTCTGCTCCTCATAATGCTCACATTCCCCATCTGTTATATTTCTTTGTTAATCCAGTTAAATTCAAAGTAGGCACAGGTAACAATGGTCAAATTTTTAGAAGATGGCAGTTGACTACCTCTCAGCCATGAATCACTTCAAACTGCCAGATGAGAACTTGCATGACTGAATGCTCTCCCATTTTTTTAAATAACTTCTTATGTATAAATTTAGGACATCAGGGGAAGGGTACCAACCTAGCCTGTTCGTTGATCTGCTAGGTTTCTGTGGGAAGCAACGTTTATTTAATATGGAAGAGCGGTAAATCAAATGACCCTTTTCCTAGTCTGAAGTTATCAAATGGCACAACTTCTTAGAAAAACAATCAGGACCAGAACCTTTGGTTCTCCAGATATTGTTTGTCTACAAATCTGCATTTTCTAGGCACTGGTCATGCATACTGGAGTTGATGGAGGGCATGTAGGGGACCAAAGGGTTCCCACTTATGCTGTAGTATTAAGTCCAGATTGCAGTACACTTTTATCCTAAACACAAATGCAGGAGAGAATATTTTCCTTACTTTTCTAAACAAAGGCCTTCTTATACATCATACTAATATAAACTCATTCACTTTAATTGTAAAAGCTCCCAAGAAATACTGTATATTTTCACCATTAAAGGACCCCGAGCCACTCAGGCAGAATCAAGAGTGCAGAATTTTTTCAGTACAAAGGAATCTGGGGTTGTTAGCTCTTTGAAGACAAAGGTAAGAAAGGGGGGAAAGGCAAGGGAAGTACACATTTGTAATGTGGGAACCGTCAGAAATAAATATAAGGCACATACGGCAAATTGTCTTGAGCCTGCCACCCATTTGTGGGCTGGAAGCTCACTGTTCCCATTTTACAAAGATGAATACCGGTGGGTGTTTTTGCTGCATTGCTCAACTGGCATGTTGAAAAATGTGAACGCTAATGACTTCATAAAAGTCATACTGTGGTTGTACTGTACTCAGATGCCCCAGGCCACCTTTTAAGAATAAAGAGCCTACTAAAAGGACCACATTGCCATATTCTGTGACATTAGCAACCACATCAGCAGGTGGTCCCATGGGACACCACACTTAATCAGAAATTATTACAGACTGTTTGCAGAAAAAGCAGAAGTCCAGAAAGCAAGAAACAGAATCCGCACAAACTTTTGTTATGCCTTTTGTTCTGAATAGACATAGCAAGTTTAAAGCAGGAGCCAAATAATCCAGAAGCCCTATCCAACACTGAAGCAGAGAATCTAGCAAGATGATACTTTTCTTGCTTTGATGTTGCTCTGTACTGATCAGGAGGTGGAAGACAGCAAAGAGCTTGAAGTGACCAAAGTAGAATGGGTACTCTGAGAGTCATGACTTAAAACTCTTCTGCATCTTGGCTCTTCTTACACAAGATATTAAAGGTTCTCAGTCTAGGCTACAATTTTGCAAGCTGCAAAATCCAGTGCCAGTGTCATTTTTAGTACCTTGCAAGGAGAAAACCATGTCAATATTGGGGCTGCTTGTTGACATCGAACTGGCAGCAACATTTCCAAACACCTATTTCTTAGCTGGTTAAGCAAGAGGTTCACACCCGGCAAGAAAGAAAGTCTTTGTTATCAGATATTGTGGTAGCTCTCTTGTGTAGCTGATCAATTATGTATAATAGGATTTATCACTTTCCAAGGGTAACCTGAATATCCATGTGCATAAGTGCTTAGAGGACAGAACATGCCACATGCTTAATGTGGCTTCTGAAAGAAAGTGAGGAACCCCATTGGCCTATAGAACACATGGTTACAGGGAAGATCAACCTTAGATGGTTGCTGACAGAGCAAGGAAAATGTTCACTTTCTTATCTGTCATGTAGCAAGTCATTTCTAGAGCAAAGGTACACCTTCCAAATTTCTAAAATGCAGTTTTCCCTTCACCATTAGGATGATGCTATTTATAGTCTAGTACCTGTAGAGCAGGGGTCTCAACCTCAATTTACCTGGGGGGCTGCTGGAGGCAGAGTCTGGGTGAGGCTGGGCCGCATCAGATTTTCCGCCAAGCGGAGCAAGAGCCCAAGGAAGCCGCCCAGGAGTTTCCTTAGCCCAGCTGGGGCTCCAAGGAGGAGGAAGAGGAGGGGGCATGAGCCCTGGTAGCCGGCCACGACCCCCTCCGGCTCCTTCTTCACTACCACCAGCAGTAGCAGCAGGACGAAGAAGCGGAGAAGGGATGGAACGCCAGCGACCGCCTAGCTGGAGGGGGGAGGAGGGCACGACATTTTTTTTAAAACCCTCATAGAATCGCCTTGCCAAAGGAGTAAAGGCCCCATCAGTACCCGCAAAATTAGACAGAATGGGGTGGGGCCCCCACAGGTGCGCACGTGCGCATATACACACACACAGAGAGGTCTGGCAACCTTCCTCTGAGGGCCCCCCTCAAAAAAAGGGGCCCTCAGCAGCAGCTTCTTGGTGGGAAGGGATGCATCTTCCCAGTGGTCCTCATTCCTGAGGAAAGTACTGTAGGAGAGACCTCGCTTTGCAAGGTGAGCCCAGGCAGCCTCCAGAGCAGAGGCGGCCGAAGCAGGACGAGGAGGAGGAAGCACCGCTGGGTGCTGAGGCGGCCGCTGGCCGGGCTGGTGCTGGGGGTGCCGAGAGAGAAAGAGAGCCAGAGAGCTGCTTCCCTGGAAGAGGCAGCAGCGCTGACGGCAGCTGCTGTTGGTGGCTTGGAGGTGCTCTTCGAGGAGGGGCCGAGAGCAAGCTCCGCTCTCAGGCATTGTGCGGCGGCGGTGGCGGCTTGGCCGCCCGGGGAAAAGGGCCAGCAGCGCAGACAGATGGGCTGGCAGGCAGGCTGCAACTCCAGATGGAGGGTGCAAGAGGCGCTGTCTTGGGGCAGAGCCGGTGAGCAAGGTGAGGCTTTTTCTTACTCTTGATAGCAGAGGACGCATGGGTGATTCGGGGGGAGGGGCAGGCAAGGCGGGGGCCACAAACTATCATCCGGTGGGCTGCAAATGGCCCCCGGGCCGCATGTTTGAGACCCCTGCTGTAGAGGGTACCTGGTTTAGGAAGACTGTGCTAACGGAAGAATGCCAGAGTAACTCGTTTGACATTTAGAGTGTGACTGACAGTACCACTTAAGAAATGGTGTGCTAACGTTGGAAGGACTTGGACATGCAGAGAACCTGTCCTGCCTCAATCCACAAAGACTCTCGCTGGCACCTAAAAATCAACATGTTCATTTGGCCTGAGGTTCTGTGGACTTTAGTCCAGACTTCAGATACATTTGAAGAAACAAGATCAAGTCCATGGAAATCCGAGCCAAATAAAACTTGCTAATGTTTACAGTGCCACAAAACTAGTTAGCGTTTTAGCTGCACTGGACAAACAATCCCCAAACATTTTCTCATACGCATCACTAAGGCTCTACTTCAGAAAGCCAATTTACAAGAAGCACTGGAATCAGCCCCATATAATGACATCCGCCAATGGAAATGTTGGGAGGAAGCAGGAGTGGGATTCCACAGCCTGAAACCCAACAAATGCCTTCCTGCTAGGAAAACAGTGCAACACTGGATTTGGCACATTTCTACCCATGAAACAGAGGGAACATCAGAGACCCTGGATGCTGGCTTTGTTTCAAACACACCTGTACAATGTGTGGTTTGTCAAGCTTAAAATACACCGATTTGTCTAGCATTTGGCAGGGCCTACTTGAGTCTTCAAACACAATTAGGTGTCTGGTGGGCTATATTCAACTTGGTGAGTTACTAATATGCAGATCTGGTCTAGAAAAAGCGCTATAGTCTAGAAGCATCAGGAGCTCCCCTTTTTCCAGGACAGGTCCTGTGATTGTCCCCATCAGCACCTGTAGGAGAAGAGGGACTTCAAGGCTCAGATGTGCTCTGTGGATGCATCTCAAAATAAGCACCATTTGGACACGTCTTTAGTGTGTTGATATTTAATTTAGATATTTCATCTAAATCATCATGCCAAGTCTGGAATTTGTAGTGTTTTTTTTTTTTAGAAATCCAAAATGTAGCACCTCTACTACACGTGGGGTAGGACAAGCCTCCATGCTACAGGGGAAATCCAGCAACTGGATGAGATTCACATGAATCCAAGGAGAATTCAAGGACAGCATGTGGTGGTTACCTGGCTTATGTGCATATTATCCAAGATGGGCTTTTTTTTGCAAATACTCAAAACCGACTTTAAAAAAGGAAGAATAAGGACAAGAAAACACACTTGTTTCATTCCTGAAATTTGCTAGGTAAGATACTTGTTATCCATCATCTACTGGACTTTACCTGTAGCATATGCACAACGAAAAGGGATAGTATGCTTTCTACCAAGAGAAGTCTCCTCCTTCTCCAGTTGTTAAAAAAATTCAATGAAACCGAATGTGCTTAATTGACGGAAGTGGTTACAGAGCCAGTCACGGGAATGCTGCAGATTCTAGCAAGATTCATGGTTGCTTTCTCCATCTGCACAAGGGCAAACACGACAGTGAATCTGACTGCTGAGAAATAAGAAGTCAGGAAGCCACACTGCTGACGTGCTTCCAAGCCTGCCTTTTCAAGACAAATGGGGTAGGGGTTGGGGTTCTGCCTGGCTTTTCTCCAGCATTGTAGAAAAGAGAAATCCAACTGAGAAGAAGCATCAGTTCCATTCATCTACATGAAGATCAAACTGTCGCTTTGCCTTGATTTGGGTTCACAAATCCTCCCCTGCTCCTAGCCAGTTTTCATCTCTCAACTCCTCAGTGGGTCCTTCTGAAGATTTTGAGGAAGTCCCAGCGTGGTCCATAAACATGTTGGGAATATCTTTGCCAAAATAGATCTTGCTGTTGGAGGCAATTGCTTTGTACTTCATCAACTGCAAGTATTCTGGCGTCAATTTTAGCTGTGGGAAAATAAGAACATTAGGAAGCCAGTGGTAGGAATGCTACTAAAATTTTATAGGTGGCTTTGGCCAAACTGCTTAAAGATGGGTCCTAAGAGACTGAAAACAATGCATATACACAAATATAAAAAACAGCCGCTTGTGTATGAGTGCTGGGGTTGCTACACAAAATGCATGAAAAATACAATGTTTAAAACTTCAGGTTAGCTGTTCCAAGTGGCTGTTCATAAAGGGAGAGCCGTTCCCACACCTTCCCACTAGAGATGGGCTCTTAATGACAGGACCTTCTCGGGGCCAAATACAATGGCACAGAACAGCATAAACAGCTACATGATTAACTAGATAACATTTTATGTATGTATGTATGTATGTATTAATGGCATATAACAGCATAAACAGCTACTATGATTAAATAGATAACATTTTACGAAAGGTGCTTCTTTCTATATGAGAAGGAATGGCTCTCACAAAGGCATTTGCCAGCAGTGAATTTGAATATTTGTTAAGTATAATTAAAAACACAATGTTGCTCTTTAATCAAAGTTAGTTTTTTAAAAAAAATCAAAAGGTTTCTGAATCATGTAAATTCCACCTGAATTTGATTTCTTGGACAACAGCTGACAGGAACCCTCAGCAAACATGGGTAACTGGAGGATTCTGGGTGTTGTCCAGCCTCCTCAACGGACCCACCCCAAAACGTTTCCAAGTGTGGTCTAAGACACGGATCATACAATAGGAATTTTCCTTACCTTGTTGGCTTCTGCTACCTTCACGGCAGTGTAACACTCAGCATCTGCTTTTGCCTTCTCTCTAGCAAGGAAGGCAGCATCTGCAAAAAGGAAGGAAAAAGAAGATTTTCATACCCTGGAAAGTCACAAATTTCTCTGGAAAACCTGACAGGAAAAAAAGAGCCTATGTACTTTTGAAAAAGCAAACCAATCTCAGAATATCCTTCAAGACTGCAGCCCAAGTTTTGCAACTGCTAGTTCAGTTCCCCGCTTCTGAGTAATTAGAGGAGACGACTAGGGATTGCCAAATACTGATGGACAATAAGAGGAGGACCAGAAAGAAGACAGGAAGCAGCACAGAGCATAGTGCTGGTGCCACCAGGATTATATCCACCTCCACTTAGTCACAGCAATGCAAACCAAGCCTATCCATTTAAGCCACATAGTTCGACAACTTTCATAATTCCCTGCTATGACAGCCAATGGGTAGCTCAGAACACACTGCCATTAAAAATCCTATTTTCTCACCATAAACAAGGCAGGCAAGAAGTATGTTATTTGAAAATACAGTGGTGCCTCGCTTAATGTGTAGGCAAGAAGCATGTTATGTGAAAATAGAGTGGTGCCTTGCTTAATGATTATCTCGTTAAACGACGAATCCGCTTGATGATTAGGTTTTTGCTATCACTTTTGTAATCGCAAAATGATGTACCAATGGGAAAAACGCTTTACGATAATCGGCTCCCTGCTTCGGGAACTGATTTTTCGCTTTATGACGATAAAACAGCGGATCGTCTGGTTTCCAAAATGGCCGCCCGCTGTGCAAAATGGCTCCCCACTTGTTTAATGTCGTTTTGGATTTTCAACACCTAGAGTTCCCCAAGAACTCGCCAGGCAGGATTATGGGAGCGGATTTTTCGCTATACAGGGAGCAGAAAATGGCCACCTAATGGAGGATCTTCGCTGGACGAGCAGGTATTTCGCCCATTGGAACGCATAACGGTTTCCAATGCATTTCAATGGGCTTTTTTATTTCGCTTGATGACGATTTCGCTCTACAGCGATTTCGCTGGAACGGATTAACGTCGTCAAGCGAGGCACCACTGTAAAGAGACAACTGAGAAACTTTAAACTGAAGAGGTGTACTAGAATTGAAGCAAAGAGTCTACTTTCCGCAGAAACAAGGGTTAGTGCATATAGAATATTGGGTTTAACACTGGGGAAGACAGGTATGAAGGCCTGCCAAGTACGATTCAGACTGGGGGGGAAATGCAGAAATACATTTAAAGAGGAAGCACAGTTACAAATTACGGTTATTTTTAAAATGTGCAATGATATCATACCAACACCACGACATCTATAATATTCTCAATTCCCTCCTTCACTAATCCTTTGAAACATTTTTGTTACTGAAGAGTCCTTTAGTTAAAATCTTGGAGTACCAGTGACACTGGCCCCCCACCACAAAAGTTGTAGTTTAGTTTTCTTGTATCCAGTTCTCAAACCATTAGAAAGCATATGATGCACAGAGAATTACATGACTGTACAAAATAACAATATACTAGGGGTGTGCCATTCATTCTTGTTTAATGTCATTTTGGACTTTCAACATCTAGAGTTCACCAAGAACTCGCCAGGCAGGATTATGGGAGTTCCCGCCCACAGACATGCATCTACATTTCACTCACCTGTAACAGGCCTCTCTTCCAGAATGTCTTGGGCCTACTCCTGCACAAAAATCTGGCCCAAATGTTTCACTTTCAATACGGTCTACAGTATTTCAATACACCATAGAGATGCACTTATTCACTAAGCATCAAAATCCTTTGCCACTGCTGCTGCTGAAAGCTCCAATGTATAAATCCCAATTTATACTGGAAGTCTTGCAAAATAGCTTTCCTTTCAAAAAAAGGATAAAGCCTGAATTTTCACCTACCAATCCCTGGAGTTTGTGCTCATGTTGCTTCAAAATGTAACAGTCAAGCTAGGCAGTCATTTCTATTCATGTACCAGACAGGAGGGCACCTCCAACCCGTGCCAATAGCTGAGACCACGCAAGATTCAAGACATGCATCACAATTGTCTTACCAGAGAAACGAGGGCAGCTTGGGACAAAGCTAGGACGGCAGGACCTCCTCGACCCCTATGGGGCAGTGGTTACATCGAGGACCTGGCACTCTTGAGTTCAGCTAGGAAAACCTTAATGAGAGAGCTATGGCCTGGACACTCACAAAAGGCCTCCTCAGTGAGACAGATGCTACATGCTTTGATGGGAGCCTATAATGAACCTGACCAGATTGAGATCCATGCAGCTCTTGGGCAGTTTCTTCGAGGTGTGGAAATTTGCCAAAAAGCAGGAATGACAAAGAGGAGAGGAAGTCCTCTTGTCAATGTCACAAGATCACGGAAAACCCGAATGGCAGTGGCTGCATCTGCAGCCACAGTGGCAACCCCTCTATAGCTCAAGGCAAGAGCTCAGCAGCTGAAGACACACTTCACGTGCAAAAAATCCTAGACTGCATTTCTCAGATTGCAATGTCTAAACCCCAACAAAGAGCCACCCACCAGTCAGTGAAGATAAAAATGAGTTAGTCAGGCTAAGTCTGTGTGGGCAACTTTGACGGTTCTGCAAGCCACATTTATGCCACTCTAGGAACAACCAGAACACCTGGTAGCCCACATTCAATTTCAGGTGGGTTTTCTTTTTGGGGGTGGGGTGGGGGGGAAGATGGACAATCAGGGGGCATCCATCTGTTCTATTGCAAAACCACGACTTCTGGAAGCTTCCAGGAGCAGCAAACAATGTTATCCAGCTTTGTCCCCAGTCTGGGGTCATCGCGGGCCATAAAAATATGTGGCCCTTATCCTACATTTTGCCAGTTCCTGGACTAAATAGTTCAACTTGGTGTAAGGCAGTGCCTTATATTTCAATTTGGTCAGGGCTAAGTGGGGCTCCCAAAAGCTTTTAATCCTAGAGAGCCTCAGAACCTAAAACTGGGTGGGTGGGGATAGGGTTGGGGATAGGAACCTAGTCTGAATTATTATTTCCAGTGCAAGATCTGGTTTATGGCGCTGTAACTTTGCAGCAACAGGATTTTGTCTTCCATCTTACAAGTTAATCTGCACACTGGGGACAATGACTACAGGTCTGATTTTTGAACTACAGTAAGACCTTGGTATCCGCAGGGGACTGGTTCGAAGTCCCCACAGCAGATCCCAAAAAAACCCATGGAAGTAGCAAATACTATACACCGCACGGTCTCTGGCCAGTTCTGGTAGATACACACTAGAAATACTCACAAATACAAATTTCTGGGTTTTTTAATTGGCTATTTCCAGGCCACGGATAGTGATTCTGCGGAGGTGGGTGGGTCCTATTGTAATTACTTCTTTCCCTAATTTTGCATTACCTAATCCTAAAGAAGAGTTTCGGAGATCTGAAAGTTTACCATGCTTTTGACATCCAGTACTAAACCACAAATTCAGCCAGATGGACAGAAGAGTGCAAAGTGAAGTGCTGCTCACCTTCAATCTCGGAGATTCTCTTCTCAGTCTCTTTCTCCATCACCTTCTGTCCGTATGTTATTTCCGCCACCTGGGCAATTTTTTCTGCTTCTGTGTTGGGAAAAATAAAAAGACAACTGGAAATTCAATTATCACAGGAGCAAGCTAGCTCCACTGTCAGTAACACTCAAATTTCCTGGAACAATGATGCACCTGGGGAATTCATCAACCTCCATCCACAACACTCACGACTAGGACTGTAAATGTTTGCTAACCCTTACTTGCCATTCTTGAACACAGAACAAGATTTGCGAGACCGCCTCCCTTTACAAATGTAGACGCATTGTTCAAGTTATGATACACATTTTCTTCCAGAGCTGGGATATGAACCTACCCGGCAGTTAAGATCTAGCCAGGGGGCCCTTTTGAAAGAGCCGTCCCTTAAGGAGGTAAGAGGGACGGCTTGTAGACAAAGGGCCTTTTCGACAGCTGCCCCCAGACTATGGAATGCCCTCCCGACTGAGATTCGTCTGGCGCCGACGCTGATGACATTTCGGTGCCAGGTCAAAACCTTCCTGTTCCAGAAGGCTTTTAACTGAAATAATATTAGCTGTGGGTCTGATGGCAATTTTAATTGTATTTTAATTGTATTTTAATTATTTTATCTTTTGCTGTATTGAATTTTAATTATTGTAAGCCGCCCAGAGACCTCTGGGTAGTTTGGGCGGCATATAAATTGAATAAATAAATAAATAAATAAATATTGCCTTCTGATGATTAGCCAACCTTTGGCAAGTCACTGCCTGTCTTTTAACAATTGCTGTAATACACATTTTCTTCCAGAGCTGGGATATTGCCTTCTGGTGATTGGCCAATCTTTGGCAAGTCACTGCCTGTCTTTTAACAACTGCTGTTATTTTATGAGCAACTTGATCCTCTCAATCCAAACTCTTTCACCCTCTGCTGTGATGTGCTCATTTTGGCAGGTTATTTGTTGTGTGGGCCTGAAAAGTGCTCCCCTTACTACTTCAGGTGACGTGCATAAATTCTTGGATAGATCTTTCTTTCATTAACAATTCTTTCATCATTGTTTTTTCACTTGTGAACCTCTGCCTCATAATTACCACCTGACCGCAACTGCATTCTCTCATGGCTCTGAAAAAATGTTCATACGAAGGAGCAAAGACTGCACACAGACCTATGAGAGCTTTCTTGCGTTCTGTCTCGGCCTCCTTCTCCACCACCTTCTGCTTCTGAGCTGCGATCAACAGCTTTGTTTTCTCACTCTCCCTAAAGGGACGAAAACAAGCATGTAGGTAATGCATTGACATAAAATCCAATGCTCCCAAAGATACATCAGTTGGCAGGATATTGACAATGTAATAATACATCCTTAAAATGTTTCACAGATAGCATTTCACTCCGGTAAGATTGGCAAAAAGGTCAAAAAGGATCAGCAATATTTGTTAGAAATGTAAAAAAAAATCCAGGGACTTATTATCATGTATGTTGGTCATGCAAAAAAGGACACACAAAGAATTGGTTACAGGTTTGGGAAATGTCACAAAAAAAATAAAAAAATAAAAAAATCCAGTGACTTATTATCATGTATGGTGGTCACGCAAAAAAGCACACACAAAAAATTGGTTACAGGTTTGGGAAATGTCACAAGATTTTGTTCAGCAAAAATTAAGTTTTAAACCTGAAATGTTGTTATTGAATATAATGCCAGAGATTATTGATAATAAAATATAGTCTACTGTAGAATTACCAACAATGGAGGAACTACTAAAGAAGCTACTGGATACTGCAGAACTAGATATGCTTTCAGAAGCAATACAAGTTCAACAGAGACACTTTGTAAAGGAAAGCTGGAATATGATACATAATTGGGCTCAAAACAGGCAGGAACTTAGTCATGGCAAACCAGTGCTCACAAGAACCCTTTGGTGATATTAGATGACCAGACGATGGCGAAATCTCTGATCCATATACAGTCGTGCCCCGCTTAACTATTACCCGGTATAACGACGAATCTGCTTCAAGACAATGTTTTTGCAATCGCAATTCTGATCGCAAAACGATGTTTTAATGGGGTTTTCCCGCTTTGCGACGATTGGTTCCCTGCTTCGAGAAATGATTCTTCGCATTACGATGATCAAAACAGCTGATCGTCGGATTTTCAAAATGGCCGCCGGCTGCTCAAAATGGCTCCCTGCTGTTTTTAGGAGGCATTTTTTGCAAGACAGGCACCCGAAAATGGCCACCATATGGAGGATCTTTGCTGGACGAGCAGGTATTCAGCCCATTGGAATGCACTGAATGGCTTTCAATGCATTTCAATTGGCTTTTTTATTTTGCTTTACGACGTTTTCGCTCTGCAGCGATTTCACTGGAACGAACTAACGTCGTCAAGCGAGGCACCACTGTATGTAATATGAATGTTTAGCTTTGTTGTCCTTTGTTATTTAGGTCATTTTTGCTAGGTCTTATTATTATTGTTCTGTTTTGTGTATATATAAGTAGCAACAACAACAACAACAATAAAAAGACAATGTAATAAAAAAAGAAGTAGGCAAACTTCATCTCTGCTAATCTTCTTTACACTTTTTAAAATTATAACTCCATGATCCACCAAAACCACTCAGAATTAAAAATCAGAATGCCAGAGCACACTGAGAGCCAAAGAATTTGTTTTCATTTCCAGAACTGAACTTACAGTCTTTGTAAGCAGATCCCTGATTGCCCTATGCTTGCTTTAGATCAGCAACTACATTTATATGAAAAAAGTCATGTTGCTACTGTTAACCAGCCATGAGACAGAAACCTTTGTGGAACTACTGCAATTCCCCCAGAAAACCTGACAACCACTAGCTTCTGACCTAACCTCTCAGCCCTGCTTTTGAGGACGTGGCCTTCCAAGTATAACTGGATTAATGCCCCTATACATTACTGGCTGTGCTGGTTGTAGCCCAAGATTCATGTTCTCCCACCCTGCCTTTGGGTTCTGTTTCCAGATACCACAGCAACTTATTCTTTGCCTAAGAAGACACATTAACAGTTCACTAGTCACTCCCGGTTACATCTTGAGAGATTTAAAAACAAGAACAGAATGCTGGACTGTGCTGGGCATAGCTGCAGAGTTTCTGAGGTTACTGTGGTTACCAGGGCTCATTAAAAACAGTGAGCATGAGAATGCCAAATATACCCAGCTAAGCATGCCCAAGATGTAATGTACAGACATGCAAAACTATCAAATGGGAAGCAAAAGAAAGAGCTCCTAGTACCTACATGAGTTCATAATTCCTCCGAATTGTTTCTGGGATATTTGGCTTTGTAACTCGGACTGCCTAGACAAAAAGAAAGCAAGGATTATGAGGAAGCTGGTTCATGACTGCTACATATTCAGCACAATGAACAGAGACAATATTATTTATTTTATTTATTTATTTGCAAGACCTTTTAGCCGCGCCATTAACAATGGTCTCTGAGCAGCGTACAACAATATTAAAACTTTAAAAACATTAAAACCATTAAAAACAGGCAATATTGTAATAACACCCTTGTGATCAGGGTTAAAGTCCTTTACTCCTTTTGATGCATTTGTCTGTAAAGGAGGCGACGGTAGCCCAAAATCTTCCTGTAAAACAGGTTTATTATCTAAGAAGTTATCAGTCTCAAACATGTTTACATTATTCGGTTCCGTTTTTAACAACAAATCGTACTTATTAACTTCCATCAAACCAGGTAACTCTCCTTGCAACAAAAGAGGAGATGAACTCTTAACTCTAGGTGTCCATTTCTGCCTAGTGCCCGAGGCATCTGGCATATTGTCTGCCAGGGCTACGGTTGTGGACGGAACACCCAGCTCGCCTGCAGTTCCCATACTTTCCTCCCCCGGTTCTATCTCAGAGGGGGTCTGAAAGGACTGAGCACACAGGATCTCCCAGTTGGCACCATACATCTCCTCTGTTCTTTGATTTGTTCTTCCCTCCTTACCCAAGCTTTGTATTCTTCCTTTTCCTTTCCTCTGTCTTGCCCCAATAGGGTGGTTCTCTATAGGTTTGTCTTTTCCATTCTTTCTCAGCATATTCTCTGGGCACTCGAAACTTTACCCATTCCCCTGTCCAGGGATCTTCTTGTATCAAATCTACCAAGTCTTCTCTCTTATATCCTCCTCAGCCCAACATACCTCTCCCTTTTCCTCTTTCCGACCGCTCTCTCCCTCCTTCTTCCCCTTTTCTATCCTCCCCTTTCCCTGCCAAATTAGCGTCCCCTAGTGCTTCTGTACTTATTTCCAGTTGCTTTAACCCCCTTTCAATGATCTCTGCCACTTCTTCTGCTCTGCTGGTATGGGAGACGGACGGTACACCCTGGAGAGTATCCCTGGGGTTACTCTCATCCTCAAAACCCTATATTAAAAATAGCCATTAAAATATTAAGATTACAGGTCACGCTATAATTTATCTATTAAGATATTTATATACTACTTTCCATCAACAAAGTTTGGGGTGACGACAGATGATACAGCCATCTAACACAATCAACAGATTTTAAAGTAATTTAAAACAACTTAGAACAACATTTAAGTACCAGCACAACCCCCCACAATCTAGTCAAGTGATACTCTCTAATTCCCAAAGGCTCTGACAAAGAGCTAGGCTCAATAAAGTCAAGGAAAGCTGATCCAGTCTAAAGCAGCAGAGGAGAGCCCGGCTATTCATTGAGAGGAATTGCAGATGGTCTCTCCGAACCCAGCCAGCATCCTCACATTCCTCTGCCCAGATCCGGACTAGTTTTGTTCCTGTAATATTTCATGACCTTCTTGGTTACCTGAATGATTAGTCCTGGTGCCATGCCTGTCAAATCCTGCTGGAGTGCCAGTTTTAAGTTTTCATCAATCTGATCTGGTAAGGTATGAAATGAAGAGTTAGTTTAAAAAGAGGGTGTAGCATTAAGGGGATTAGCCATATTGACCAAGGTATCATATGTGCTTTTAAGGTGAGGGGCCTTTTCACTAACCCTCAACTAAGAAAGGCCACAAAAGATAAGATTAGGCAATGCAGTAAACTGTTCTTAAAACTTTCCAAAATGAAGGTCTGCAGTTATTTAGATGAATAAATGCCTCCTTGCAGTGAAGAAAGTGGACATGTAGCCCCATTCAACAATTAGAAAAGAAGAAGGATACTACAGTGATCTTCTCAGTGGTTTACTCAGCATCGAAATCCTCAAGGCACCCACCACTCAGATGACTTTGTTTAGGAGGAGTCATAATGAAATCCACAAGTCCCACTCAAGGACCGCCTCCATAGTCAATCAAGCACATCATACCGGATGTAAGTAATCAAGGTGCTCACCAAACAATTCGATATAGACTTCTTGGAGCGTGTGGACGCTGCAGAATTGGTTGAGCTCATGGTGGATCTTGTTGAAGATAAGGGCCTTGTCATAGTCGGCAGTGTAGTTCTTCACTATGTCATACACTAGTCCGAAAAAGAGAAAATGGCATTAGAAGGCTTCGATCTCTCGTTTATACCAGTCACAACAACTGTGTTTTAGTGCATTATTGCTATTATCCTGGTTAGGAGCAACAACGGGGGCGAATTCTTACTTCATTTTTTTTATAAAAATTGATCAAAATTTCCAAATCTTCAATAATATCTTTATTGTTGTTGTTCAGTCGTTAAGTCGTGTCTGACTCTTTGTGACCCCATGGACCAGGGCACACCAGGCCCTCCTGTCTTCCACTGCCTCCCAGAGTTTGGTCAAAGTCATGTTGGTCGCTTCAATGACACTGTCCAACCATTTCGTCCTCTGTCGTCCCCTTCTCCTCTTGCCTTCCCACTTTCCCAACATCAGGGCTTTATTGTTGTTGTTCAATCGTTAAGTCGTGTCTGACTCTTTGTGACCCCATGGACCAGGGCACGCCAGGCCCTCCTGTCTTCCACTGCCTCCCAGAGTTTGGTCAAAGTCATGTTGGTCGCTTCAATGACACTGTCCAACCATTTCGTCCTCTGTCGTCCCCTTCTCCTCTTGCCTTCCCACTTTCCCAACATCAGGGTCTTTTCCAGGGAGTCTTCTCTTCTCATCAGATGTCCAAAGTCTTGGAGCGCCAGCTTCAGGATCTGTCCTTCTACTGAGCGCTCAGGGTTGATTTCCTTCAGAATGGATAGCAAAGCGTGCTGCTTATATACTGCCCCATAGCGCTTCAAGCTCTCTTCGGGCAGTTTACAAGTTAATTGTGCAGGCTACACATTGCGCCCCCCGCGAGCTGGGTACTCATTTTACCGACCTGGGAAGGATAGAAGGCTGAGTCAACCTTGAGCCAGCTACCTGGGATTGAACCCCAGGTCGGGGGACTCTCAAGAGTCTCCTCCAGCACCACAATTCAAAAGCATCAATTCTTTGGCAACCAGCCTTCTTTATGGTTCAGCTCTCATTTCCATTGCTTTATATTCACAATGAAAGGAGCTTGACATTTCGAAAATTCCAATGCACAAGAAATCAGAATTGTCGTATTTGTCCACCCAGTACCATGCCTTGAAAGTACAGAAATCTTACGCTACATGTACCGTATATTCAAACATAGTGAATAATGGTGTGCCATCAAGCCAATTCTGACCTTTCCAGGGTAGAAACTGCTCAGAAGTGATTTACTAGTCCCTTCTTCTGGGGGAATCCTGAGACTGTGCAGTTTGCCCAAGGCCACACAAACTGGTTCTTCTGAGAGGCACAGCAGGGAATTGAATTCACAACCTCTAGCCCCACAGCCAGGTACCTAATTCACAGAGCTATCCAGCAGCTCTATATTCAAGCATGTTATTCCTGAATTGCCACCTTTCCTTCCCAATGTGCTTCTTATCTTTAATATCAATATGGCTGGCACAGACAACAAACACAGTCATGTCCATGCCAGCTACACCTACTGAATCTGGCTGATTGCAGATAGGAGAACATTTTATTTGTTTCTTTTCAAAGAACGTAACAAAGATCACAGGTTGTTCCACATCTGACTTGGAAACAATGTCTAATGTAAAAATATGAATGTGCAGGAAAGTAAAGCTGATAGACTGACCATCCCTAGTTAAGAGCAAAATAACTGTAGGCAGTTCAGAAAATGCTTGGGCGACTGCCTATTATGTGCCTCCAAACTCTAGGAGACAGGTGAGCAAGGATCGCTAATCTAAGTCTATTTACTTGCTATAGATTTATCATGCCTGCCGTATCTAATAGGCAACACTTTAATACCATTGTGATTGTTGTGTGTATTCTCTGCAGTAAGCGATGGCCACAGTTTTCCTGCATATTCACTTGTGCCAACACTCCAAAAGGGAAAGCACAGGTCAGCGAATTTAACTCACCGGCACTTTGGATTAGGAAATTCACCACCTCTATTCGGTCAAAATAGATCATCACCCCGCCACTATACAAAGAAAGAGAGAGAAAAGGTAATTGTTTGACTGAATGCAGAAATAAAAGATATCACAGGCATTCTTGGGATAACCACAACCCAGGCACTCAAGCAAAATGAAGCTCATGGGAAATACAAAACAGACAGAAGTCTCTGTTATGGGATCACAGCTTCCTAGTAAGAGGCAGCATAGTGCTGGCCACACAGAATAGGATGTGTGCCCAACATTGTACATATTTTTTCCAGAAGCACAGCAAAAAGGATTCTGCAAGTAAAATCAAAACGTGGGGTGCCCCAAACAAAAAATTATAACCATGAAACTGGAGATCAGATCAGCACCAAATTTCACATGGATGTAGGAGTCTACTCATGCTCTGTGCCGAATTTGGGGGTGTTTGGGCAAAGGGTTTTTGAGTTGTGATTTTTATTTTAAAAAGCAACACTGTTTTATCTCTGTGCACAAGCATGCAACTTTTAGTTACAGCCAATTGAAAAAGAGATGAATAACCTGGATAAGACAAACTTTGCATACAGGGAAAACCTCAGTTTTAACCTCTTTTTTTATTCACAGGAGTTTGGCCATTTGTGGCTCTACTTCAGGCCCTTTAATTACTGCTTTTTAACACCCAAAACTTCCAAAATTGCTCCTTTTTTAAAAAAAAAATCATTGCTGAGAATTTCGAAGGAACTATTTGCATAGTATAGCAATCTGGCCAATCGGAATGTGTCTCCAGTCCGCCCACAAAGGGAAGGTCTCTGTCACTTTTAATTCTGACATGGCCTTCAGTGTGAAAGGAAGGGCAATGTCTTCCTTTTTAAAAAAAATTCAAAAAGCTAAGGGACATACTTTGGAAAACATGTACACAACATATCCATAAAGGTTTTGGTCCAATACTTTTTCTTCCTCAGCTTGTCTAACTCAAAAAAAAGATATATGAAACTGGAGCATAGCTTTCCAGTCCGCTGCACCAGACCACAAAATTCTGGACAGCCTCTTTCAGGTTTTTCATGTGTATGTGAAACAGTAAAGGGGATCATGGAACCCTGAGACACTCCACAGGTCAAGGTGTTGAACAGGAGTCCCCCAGCACCGCTACCATTCACAAAGTTACACCACGCAAGGGAGAATCCCAGAAGCTGACTCCTTTTCTTCCATCAGTTAACCACTTATCACCTAAACATAAAGCAACCGTCAAGACTGTTTTTCAACAAGTGTGAATGATAGTGAGCAGAAGAGAGTATCCTGTAGAGACCCCCTTCACTGCTGCCATGGGTGTTGTCAACATTCCAGCTGCCCTTTGCTATGTACAGCTTGGCATCCTTTTTTCTGCTGGCAACACGGGCAAGATACTGTGCAGCAATATTGGGCCATTTCCTAGCTTTCTTAATCCTGGGTGCAGAAGCACAATATCCACATTCATAAACCTGAGCGTTTTTTTTTAAAAAGAATTGAATAGTCTCTTGTTTTCAAGCAGAGATGGACAATATCGATCCCCTTCCCTGCCCATTGTCAGATCCTGTCGGCATTTGTTAACACAGCAAGATTAAGAGATGACAGGAGCTGCCATCCAACATCATCAGGAAGGCCACACATTCCCCAAACCTTGCTTTAAAGTGAATAATCAACCCTTCATGGAGGACATTCCAAGATGGAAAGATAGCATACAGACTGAGTACAGAAAATCTGCGGCCTTGCAAATGTTGGCAGACCTCAATTTCCACAATTTCTTATTATTTGCCATGTTCTTTGGGGCTGCTTGGAACTGCTTTCAAACAACACCAGATCACTCCTCGCAGTAACATAAACATAAATATTCTTTTCTGCAGGATGCACAGAGTTTCATAAGGTGATCATAACAAACTATAAAATCATATTTTGATAACAATAATCTTAGAATGGCAGAGCTGGAAGGGACCCTGTGGATTATCAAGTCCAGCCCCGATCAAGGAGGCACACATGAAGGTTCACTGCCTGGCTGTTCTGAGAACAAGGAACTGACACCTACACATTTCACAAGTTTCCTGAATGACATGACAACCAATTGCGACTTTAAAGTTTCCTAGGAACAACACTACATTCAGGATAAAGTTCAGTGAAAGTTTTTAATTAGTTTCCTAAACCACAAGCTAGTAATCCTCCCTGGAAAGCATGAAAGTAAAGAGATCATACTGATCTGGGATAAATATTTGATTGGAACATCATCCAAGGAACTATTCTGAGAAATCATTTTTTGGTCATTTCAGAAGCATTTGTTTTGATTTAAAAGTTCCTTGTTATATTGGTTATGTAAAGAGGTTTATAGGAAAGAATCCAGGGAACAGCCCAAGTAACATTGATCTACATGTAACTGTTCTAAGATAAGTTTCAGGGAGATATACAAGACAAAGCAAAACACAAAAGCTAAAAACCAAAAATATTATTGAACTGTAAAAACTAACCGCCATATTTTAATGTGAGCATCATGTTTCAAGGAGAGGGAATAAAGGGGACTAACAGTGTATATCACAGCTCATTCTAAGTAGAATGCATTCAAGCTTCCTATTCAAGTAATTGTACCAGACAAGCTGTATACCAGGAATTGACTAGGATTTGGGAGCCACGAGGTCACATAAACTGACCCTTAGTTGTCTAGTGAGATTATGCAATCTCATTTCTCAGTGCATTTTATGCAAAATTTTAGAACACAATTTTAGGAAATGTTTAAAGTGCAGCCAGTTATGCCATATTGCAGATGAATAGAGTTTGCTATTTGATACAGAGAATTTTATATTCCATTTGGGTAAAATACCCAGGCCTCTACCTCTTAGGGATGTAAATAGCTGTCTGAAAACACATGTGGGAAGAAAAGGACTAATCAGGACTTTCTATCACATTTAATTGTCCTCAGGTCTAAGATAATTTGAATATAAACACACCAATAAGCCTTTATTAATCTGCACCATTGATTTAAACCACCAAATTTGGCTTCTCAGGAGAGACAGCTGAGGTTCAACTGTAGATAACTTAAAAGTGAATTGCTATTTTCACCATGTTAATTCCAAAAGGAGATCTAAAGCCACCTTCAAAATGCACTCCTGGACATCCTTCCGACTCTCTTACTACTCTCCCTGCAGACGACTCCACATCTGTAAATCAGGATATAGGACAAGACCTTTTTGACATGTTTCTGCTTAGGGTTGCTGACATCTAATGAATACCTTGGTATCCAGTGCCAGCAAAACTGGGAGCATCCTCCCCTTGTCCTCCACCCCTCAAGGGGAGGTTCTAAAGGAGCACAGGGGCTGTGGAACAGATCACTAATTCTGACGGAAGCCGTGCTACCCAGTAACAGCAGGACCACTTTTTAACTCCATATGGCATAGAAGCACATTATGGGGTAATAACAGCAGCAGCACCCTATCTTGTCTGGACATAATAGGGAAGTCAGGAAAACCAAGATCATCCATACGTGAAGATTCCTTCAGCTCCTGAAAAAACTTGAGGGATGGGAAGCATGTGGTTTCCAGCCCCTGTCAGGCCTCACCCAGAGGCTGCTTCTATAACCACCAGCCCTCCCTCTGCGAGTAATGATTCACTATTTAAACAAATTGTCAGAGGCTTCTGTACTTTTTAGTTACCGTATTTGCCGGCGTATAAGATGATCAGGTGTACAAGATGACCCCCCCCAACATTTCCACTCAAAATATAGAGTGGACGGCTCTGCTGTGGCGCTGGCGCCGGCTGCCCGGGGCTCTGCCTGGGCCCGCCCTGGAAGTTCATGGCCGGCGACGAGGCCCGAGGAGGAGGGGAAACGGCCGGGTGTGCGGCGGCAGCGGAGGAGGAGGGGAAGCGGCTCTCCGGTGGTGGGCTCTGGCCGCTCAGGCATGGCTGGTTCTGCTTCCCTCCCTCCGTCCAGACCGACCGCCTGCCTGCCCTCCTCCCTGACTGGCGTGGCTCTGCATCACTCACTCAACGGCGGCGGCTCCTTCCTGGCCCAACTGAAGTGCACCCGGCATATAAGACACACACACACCAATTTGGAGGCATGTTTTTTTGGCCCAAAAGTCATCTTATACACTGGCAAATAGGGTATTTATATTCACTTGTTTGCTTAAACCAAACTGGAAATGGATTTTCAGCTACTTCACTTTCTGTGTTTTACTTTACGATTGAGGGGTTTGATGAGGTTCACAGTCTTCCTAAGTTCACTCAGTGCAGAGTTAGAGCAAGGAGTTGTCAATTCAGTGATAAGACCACTGCTCACCTTGTGCCACAGGGAACATTTTTTACTTCATCTGTTTGTAAGGTTGTCTAGAAAAGAAAAGAAAAGCAATAAGGACTGCATAAATGTCAGTGCTGCCAAAATAAGTAACATTTGTGCTTTACTATGGCAAACGCTTTGCTCCTTTGTCAAAACCCAGGGAAATACTCCAACCCACCTAAATCTGAATCCATTGAATATCTTAGTCTTATCAGAGCTGAAAATCAACCCCCTGCTTCCCTTTCCAAAGATGGCCCAATGAAAAAACACAAGTCAAACTTGTTCGACTTGCATACCGGATGCTGAATGAGGAAGATAAGGCTAGTTCTATCGTAAATAAACCAGAAAGACTTCTCTGTAAACAGGTTTGGTGGTCTTTTTAAATTAGAAAAAAGCATAGAACGTGCAGATACCTGATATATCTAGTGCACAGCAATAGACAGCACCATTTTAACAATAAGACCAGATTAACTGCTGCCAAATCTTGGGAAACCTTGCATTCACTCTCCCCTTTTAGAAAAGAAAGAAACACCTATTCCTTATAGTTACGAAGAAAGCATAAAACAATATGATACTTTATGTGACTTTTCCCTCCATAGAATATAGCCACCACAGGAACGTGTTTTTGAAGTGTAGCTCCAATGAAACTATTATTATGTGGAGAGCCTAGGGTGTAAATCTACTCTTTCTTTCGGTGATGACAAGGCCCCCTAAAGCTTGTAGCAAAGCACAAATTACACAGAGGAAGCACCCTACTCACAAACAGCACACCACAAAATTAGCCACTGCCACTATATTGTGAAGTCCAGTGCATTTTCCATGCAGCAACGCATAGATCATCCCAAAATAAAATCCAGGAAATTCTACCTAAACCTATCTATGGTGCTATATACCTATCTCAGGTTCAATTAACAATCCACTGAATAATATTACAATATAAAATGCATGACACAGATGAATAGGCAAATTTACTGGCTATAAATACACAGGAATAATATCCATCTGAAATGAGATACAGTATTTTCTGCAGCCAGGATCTGAACTAGATGACTGCAGAAGAAACCATTTAACGCTGCATGCCAGACTTAATAGAAACAGTTCATACGAGCATCATAAAAATACATACCTGTACTGATTTATAGGAGGTAATAAAGGGGAGCATAAGGTGGAAGCCAGGTCCACTTGTGGATGTCAGTAATGCCCCTCCCCTGAAGAAAGCACAGAAAGAAAAAGGAGAAGAACAAAGTAAGATGTACTGTCAAAGTCTAAAAAATAAGCATTGATTTATCAATATACTAAGTTCTATTTGAAGACAGGCCAGGAAATTTGGAACCATCTGCTGGTTTAGAAGACTGACAATGAGGAACTGTTGGCAGGAGGAACATTTTTACTGGTTATTGTGCACGACAAACACTATCCAAACTGTTACAGCATTTAAAATCCTGCATAGTTAGCTCAGTGGTTTAGACATCTGGCTGCAGAGCCAGGGGCTGGGAGTTTGATACCCACTATACCACCTTGCCAGGGGCTGGACCCAGTGATCCATAGGGTTTCTTCCAGCTCTGCAGTTCTAAGATGATTATTAGAATAACTTGGGACCTCAATCTTCACAATAGCAGCTCACTAGTAGGCATCCTTCAGTCTCGAGAGACAATGGTCACGTGCTCTGTATGGAGGACTTGGAACAGCATCTGGTGTGGCTGAGAAGGCCAATTCGAGAGTGACCATCCCTTTCACACTGAAGAGAAATACAGTCTGTCCCTTCTCCAGCTCCCTGATTTTGCTGCTTTCGGGATCTAAATATATCCTGAGGACCAGGGTGCTTGAATGTGTTATTTGTTGCAAACTCTGCCAACCATGATTTGGAACAAGGATGGGGAATATCTGGTTCCATCTGTCCCTCCAGATGTGGTTGGACTGAAACTCCCATCAACACTTACCACTGTTTGTGCTCACAAGAGCTGATGAGATCTAGATATATCCTGAGGACCACGTGTTTCTTAGCCTTGATCTGGAGAACTGATGGAACAAAGCAACACGACTCATTCCAAGCATATGCACGTACCTGTAATAAACTCCAATGTGCCCTTCTTCTATCTTGTGTATTGCATAAAAAAGAGCAGCTGCTACCAGGCTGGCAGCCAGACCTGCTATGGCACCCAGCTGAGTCATCCCTGAGAGTATAACCTAATGGGGGGGGGGGAAGGAGGGGAAAGGAGAGGAAAAACACAACAGAGATAAGAAGAGAACAATTAGTCTTTGAGTACTTTGAAGCTCTGTGTTACACCAGGGGCTTCATTCTGTAGCTTGGGGGACAGGATGTTCTTCTTCTAGGTCAAAAGTGAGATTAATTACAATTTCCTTGCATTATTGAGATTCACCTTGCCCAGCCTTTTTCTCAGCACCCTGAGGTCCTCTCACAAACAGAGCTGAAAAGAACTGCCTGGCCTGGCACCACGTTCAGCAGGCAATGCACAAGAACTACCCAGTCTTGGACATTCAGCTTTATGGCCCCACAGGATTGTTGCCCGAAGCTCCACAACTGTCTTACAGCATTTATCCCAAATAAGGCGAATGCCTGCTTCAAATTTGTCAACAGCCTTTTTTAAAGGTCATGCTTCTGCAGAACTAAGTAAGCTTCACAACAAACAGGCACTGCCAGATAAGAGCTCAGTACAATTCATGTCTTGGGACTTCCACTGGTTAGGGGCAGGACTTGAACACAGCTCTACAACTTGCTATCTTCCCAATGGGCTGGAATCACCAGGACGAGCTGGGATTATGGAAGTTGTAGTATAGCACATCTGGAAGATGTTCATGTGAGGGAGTCTACTTTAGAGCACAACCTTTTTCTTTCGTCACCTCTGACTCATAAAAGTTTCTAAACTTGGGATATAATGCCTAGAAGTCTTGGGCATAGCTAGGGAATTGGGGAATTGCAATCCAGGGACATGTGGGGCTAGCTGCAAGATCGATAGAAATATGTGCACATCTGCATACTTTATCAATTCCACCAAACCTGAATTATTGGGAAGCAGGCTTTAAATCACAGCCTATCATTCTATGACATAAGTGAAACACCCTCACCAAAAGCCTATCAAAATAATTAGAAGAAAGCAGAAACAGGATGAGACACAGATAATTTTGCAAATTGTGAGTTGTATTATGTTTCCTGCAATTGTAACTATACAGCACCTGGTACTGAATATCCCAGTCTCCTCAAACCACGTAATATAGGGCAAAACATTAAGAACGCTGCTCCAGAAGAGGCCTCCTGACAAGTGATGGACACAAACCAGGAAACTGGTGGTTTATGCTGGTTTGTGGTTAGCAATGGTTCATGTTTGGTTCTTCCGGTTTGTGCTGGGGGGGCACCTGCTCCTGCTGCCTCTGTGGGCATCTTTGCAGGTGCAAGGGCAGTGGCCGGCTCCGGGCAGGAAAGTTGGGCCCACTGTCTCCGAGAATGGCAGCATTGGCAGGAGCAGGTAGGGAGATAATGGGGACAGTGGGAATTCCCTTTTACCAAACAAAGGGGAAAAAGGTTCAGCATGTCATTTTGCTTTGTCAAAACAGGTTCCCTGAACGAGGTTGTGAACCAGCCTGGTTGATCATTTTTTCCAGTTCCTAGTTCAGTTCATGCTCATCTCCTGACATTTATGGGAAGTAGGAAAAAGCATCATGCCCTTATACAACCAAGTCCACTGTCAAAAGAACTTTTGAGAGCTGGGTTGGGATTCAGCAGATGAAGATTGAACTCCACAAGGAGGGTCAGTAGGCGACATTTCACTAGCCACTCTTTCCCAGCCTGTCCTACCTCACGGGGCTGCTGAGAAGATAAAGTGAGGGAGCATAGATTTCCCATTCCTATCAAGGGTCACCCAAATCTGAGAGCCACAACACTTAACTTTTGGAATTCTCTGTTCCAAAAGCATATATGGAACAACCAGCCGCAATATATAGTTATAGATCAATGTTTAGGAATCACTGGTCAATGCTTTCCAATCATTTGCCTTCTAGAGGACCTGAAATACAACTTCTGAAATCTCAGATCATGGATAATGCTGACTGGCGCTTCTGGGAGTTGAAGTACAACAACATGCAGGCCCCCAGGGTTAAGAATAACTGCTATAGAGGACTCTTATCAGTCAAGCCAACCGCAATTAGGAAAAGCAACATAATTGATCAGAGAGTCCAGGACCACTCAAGCAAATCAATTAGAAGCAAATATAGGCAATCAACCAGCTTTCTGTAGCTCTTGCAGATCTTTTGTGCAGTGCCTGAAGGTACCTCCAGTTGCATCCCTGTTGAATTCCCCAGTGATGAGAATTAAGATTAAAAAGTGCAGGGTAAAACTCATACAATAAATCAGCGATTTCCAACCAGGTGATCTTGTACTGAAACTCCCACAATCCTGGTAAAGGCTTCTGGGAATTGCAGTCCGAGAATACCTGGGCTATCAAAGTTGGGAACTCCTGCAATAAGCGATGCTTCCCATGCAGAACATACTTCTCAGACCAGAAAACCAACAGAAGCAAGGTTAAGGCTGGGGAGAAGAGAGAGGATTTGTGGGTTTATTTGTCTAGGTACAGGGAAAGGGATGTGCTTGTTTTGGAAAGGGCTGAAGCTGTATTGTGTGTATATAACCTAACCTACCATCCACGGCCTTCTAAATCACTGCCTGCCTTTGTTACTGTCCACCTTCAATTCCTGCTCTCATGAAGAAAACAGTTAAGATAAAGAGATACAGTAGTAACTTTGGATTATATACAGGAGGAGTGAGGGGTGTATGGCCCTCCAGATGTTCTAGGGTCACAAGGCTGGCCGCAGTTTCCACAAATTGTAACCAGTTCTCCATTCAAACGGATGATTATCCTTGTGATTTCAACAACAGTTTCACAGGATTCAACTAGTAAATGCAAGTAAAATATGAGGAAAATGTATTTTTGGCACATGAGCTGGCAAATGAAATGAAAACCTCACAGTAACCCCTGGGGTTATATTCAGGAGTGCAATATCAGGATACCTAGCCATGGATGTCACTGGATCAGCCCTAGCCAACACAGTTAGGGGAATGAGTGGCTCTTGAGGACAGCAGCGCAAGAGCCATTCCTTCCCCTTACCATATTAAAATAGTGGGAATGCTTAACTCCTCAAGAGATGTTTGTATCCACAAGAGTACCCACTCTGAAAAGCTCGGTAATTACTGCATGATTTCAGAACTCGGCAATTCAAATATGCAGGACCCATTTTGTTACAAAATGAGTGCTGCACAAAGGCATTTAAAGAAATATTAAACCACTACCAGAACTTTAGCACTTGTGTTAAAGTTCCCCGCTGGAGAAGTGACAATTCATAAAAAAGTAAAAGGTTTTGGTTAAACAGTGGATGGACATGGATGTACAACCTGTAAAATCACTCGTGGTTGTCAGGCTGCTTGTCCCTCTGAATCCTAAAGATATTATTCTAACATACAAAGAAGGCGGCACTGCTGCAGTGGAGCACAGTATGCATGCAAATCATGCTAATGTGCTATTGTAAAATTGGATGTCTTGGCTTCTGACAAAAAAAGCCCACAAATATGCCTCTACACAATTCCTATACACTTGTGTGTAGAGGAATAAGATTAGAATGTAATACAATGACATGGTGTCTCAGAATGATTTGGTTAAACTTCAGAATAAGTGATTTTGTTTGCTGATTGATATATGTCAGCAATGGGAAACAAATTCTAGTCCATATTGAGCAACAAATACCAGTTGGGTATAGTGGATAGAGTAATGGACTGGGACTTTGGAAAACAGAGTTTGAATCCCCTTTTCAGAGATGGAAAGTCACGGGGGAGGGGAGTGGAACTGGTAAAGACATTCCTTAAATATCTCATTTACCTTGAAAGCTCTGCTATAAGGCAGTTCCAACTTGATGGCACAGAACACACACACCTACTGTTAGCAAATCTACATGTCAAGGACAACAGTTCCTAACAGAAGCAGGTGCAACACATAATAGTCATTGGCCTACATCCTATGCCAATGATGCTCTCTTCTCCCCAGACCATAACTCCCAACAACTGCAAGTACTTGGGACTATCATACTAAGCTTCTTAACCACAGGTCTGTAAACAATGAACAAACAGTCTTAAGCACACCAAGTTCATTATGAGCTCCACACCTCCCTGGAGCTCACATAGCTGTAATCAATGGGTAGGGGGAAAAAAGGGGTGGTGGTGGAACCACCAGTAAATTCTCTTCTACAACTGCCATGCCTCCTGCATGATAAACCAAAGCTTGCCAACATCCTCTCACCAAGCCTTTTCAGGAAATGGATCTTACTTTGGGTGTATGCACAATACAGCTCACTTGGGTCCCCCTCACAAACCGTGTTGTCTCGCTATTTATGACGAAGCGTACCTGGGGAAATGCAGATTCTAATCCGTATGGAGGCACAAAACAGACTTGCACCCATCACTCCCTTGTAACCTGACCTACCCCAAAAGATTCCTGTGAGGAGACAATAGCAGGGAGTGCCTGGTAAAAACTATTGTACTTTGATCTCATGGAAAGAAAAGCAAAACCTGCATGCATGTATTGCGGGCACACCCACCCACACAAACTAATAATGAAAGATCAATCAGATTGTCGTAAATGGATATTTGCCCAAATCCAAGACTAATATTCAAATAACTTCTCCATCACGTATCTCACCAGACGATCCTATGCTGGTCACCTTCCTTAAAGAAACACTCTTCTCTCTGCTCTTAATCTGCCTCAAAAACGTGTTGTGAGGGGAATGGAGAAGCTACCCTGGAGTCCTTCGCTTCTTTTAAAAAAAATCTCTCGAGTTCTGTCTTTTCTTTCTAAAAACAAAACCCCGAGACCGCGTCCATCCCTTTGCTTCCACCTCGCGGCCCCTCCTCGGCACCCCCATCCCGCTCTTTCACGGGGAGACTCCCGAGGGGGAAAAAAGAAAGAAAGAAAGAGCGGCGCAATGTATCACCCCCCCCAACAGACACACACACGTGGACCTTTTGGGAGGGAAAAGGGAAAGCGAGGGGGCGGACGCGGCGAGGGGGGGCGGCGGCCGGTCCCCTCAGCAGGAGAAAGGCACCGTCTGGAATCAGGAGCACGTCCTCGCAAGGGAAGGGAAGCGACCCCCGTCGCCCCGAACGAAGCGACCAGGCCGGAGAGGAACGAGGAGCCCCGAGACCGGGAAGCTCCTTCTCGCTCTGACGGGGGAAAAAAGGAGCTTTGCTGAAGGGAGGAAACCGAGCCTGGGCGGGAAGGGAAGAGGCCTGCCTGGGAAGGGGGGCAAGCGGGCCGCCCTCACTGGAGTGTCCCTGAATGTCCTGGCAAAGAGCCCATCCTAGCCTGCTCCTCCCAGGAGTGAAGGGGGAGAGAGAGAGAGAAAGAAGGAGAGCGCAGCCGCCGAGCCGAGCCGAGCCCCGCCGGCGGCACTCACCGACGCCACCTGCGCCTCCCGCAGCCAACGACTCCTCCGCGACTTCCGGGTCGCCGCTGTGACGCCACCAGTGTGCGCCGATACACGGGCTGACCGCTTAGCCCCGCCCCGTCCCGGCCGGTCTTGCAGTTCCTCCACTGGCGCCGATAGAGGGCGCAAGGGAACCGCCGCAAGGCTCGCGTGTGGGTTTGGTTCTGTTTTCCCTAAGATTTCTCGCTGGGCGGAGCGCGGTGGGGCTCCCTTTTGAGAGTGGCGTCTGAACGGTGTGACGAAAGATTCGGAGAGACCCGGAGGCTTGCACATGAACCCTTTTCCTTCTCCTGCTCCAGGGCCATCCATGGAGTGTACACGCGTCGGTGGCGTGTCCTGGGGCTGAACAAAGTTTCCTAGGAAGCGGAGGACATTTTGGAGGACGGTGCCCGCAAAGGATCCTGGGAATTGCAGGGCAGGTCCCCCCCCAAAAAAGGAGCTTTATGAGGCTCCAGTTTGCCAGGATGCCCGTGTCATCAATCTCTAGCTAAGACCAAGGTGGCAGTGGGTAGGAAAAGTGGCATTTGGCTGCTGTTCAAACCAGAATTGCAAGCCTGCTTTACACCACAATCTTCAGCTTGGGGGTAGCAGGGAAAATGCTGTTGCTAACCTTGGTTTCATCACCATCGCTGTCATTACGAATGGACCTCAACAGATGGGAAACCTTGACCTCTGAGCATTCAGCCTGGAGGCAGGCAGTGCACCATGGCCTCTCCCAATTTGAAGAGACCCTTGTCCAGCAGGCCGAGGCAAAGAGGCAGTCACGAAAGCAGCAAAACCAGGGAGCTGGACAGGGGACCAGATTGTATTTGTCCTCATTATGGAAGGGATTGTCACTCTCGAATTGGCCTTCTCAGCCACACTAGACGCTGTTCCAAGTCCTCCATATAGAGCACGTTACCATAGTCTTTCAAGAGTGAAGGATGCCTAGTCTAGTCTAATTTCTTTAGAGAGAAGCCTTTGCTCTGTGTATTGGAATATTTGCATCATCAAAGATGATCAGTTTCGAGACTGAAGGATGCCTAATATAACTATCATCTTAGAACTGTACGAGACCCTTTCACAGAGGCACAGTGGGAAATCGAACCACTGAGGGATCTATTGGACTTTGTGGCAAACACAAGCCTTTAGAGAAAAGGAAGTGGGAAGGGGCACAAACGCTGACATCTCATTAGCAGCAGTCCAGTTTCTTAACTGGGAGTTCAATAGATCACTTGAACTGTTGACAACAGCTTAGCTTACAGGTTCCTAACCTGTGGTCCCCAGACCTCCAGGGGACCACAACGTCCTCATGGGGTCCACAAAGGCTTTAAGAAATGTTACAGTCTTTTGCAGTGAAAATAAAAAGAAAGAAAAGGAAATGTAGAACAAAATCTTAATTTCCCTTGCTTGTTTGTGTAAAACTTGGCTTTTCTAAGCTATGGCCGCCATTAAAAAAAGAGGAAAGAATAACTGTGACAGCAAATAACTGCACACGATGAGACCATGCAAGTGAATGATGTTGAGTGGCAGAGAGACAGCATGTGACATTTCTTACTACTGTGCAGACAGTCCGAAACCATGGGAAAAGAGAGTCAGAGTGTTTGAATGAACTTTGTGATCATGTTTCTTTAGTTTCTGCTAATAAAAGCATTTAGTTATTGCTGACGTTTCAATATTATTGCAGTGAAATTTGGAGCAATACATTTTGGCTGAGCCTTAGAATGACTCACTGGCTGAATCTGAAACATGCAAGAACTGATAATATTGATGAGGATGCATCCTGTTCAAAGCAAAATGGAGCTTATTTCAGTCCTTTTAAAAAGGGTTGTCAAGGAATATCTGTCGATTGGCTTTATGTGCACAGGTCCTGAAGACAAGCAACTACCACAACATTACGAGATACTGTCCAACAAGGCCATGAAACATCAAAAATGCAAATACATCTCCATACTAAATATAAAGAACATGCCACAAAGAGCATCAATTTTTTTTCAAACGGAGAATGAGCTTTGGGAAAGTAAGAAAATGGTTAAAAAAAGAGAGGCTGCAACTGGCAATTTAGACTTTACATTTTAATTGCATTTTAATTGTTTTGACTTTTTATTGTATTTTAAATGTTGTAAACTGCCCAGAGACCTTTGGGTAGTGTGGGCAGCATATAAATCAAATAAATAAACTGGTTGTAATGATGGAATTTCATTGAGGGCCTCATTTGAAATTTCTCAACTAAGAGCAAAAATTGGAAAACCACACACAATCGCTGAAGAACTTATATTACCTGCTGCAAGAATCATGGTTCCTGCGCTGATCAATGAGAAAGCTGCCAAGGGCCTTTCCTTAATACCTTTGTCAAATGACACAGTTAAGCGAATCAACAATTTGTCAATCAATATCAAGGAACATGTATTAGAAAGAATTTACATGTCCTTCTACTTTGCACTGCAATCATTCTCTGCTCATGTTTATCTAAAAAAAAGCATATTTTTTCAAACTACATGTTTGACAAATGTAGAGTAAGAATTCAAAATACAAGTTCCAGCTATTAAGCCCAATATAACAAGGCTTGTAAGTTAAATGAAGTACCAGCCTTCACGTTAATTAAAATTATATGAATATAATATGTTCCCTTTCTTTCCACCTAACTTGTGTTTAATGAGGGAGAATTTTGTACAAATTAGATTCATGTCCATTTCTAGCTTTGTGACATTTTATATAGGTGTATCATATTAATTATTTTATGTGGTTGTAATTTCAGTTTCTCCAGCAAGAATAAAAACATAAAAACATTGACTGGTACAGTATTCTATAACAGATACAAGTTTTAACCAAAAACCTAAGTATCTGTTAGATACCTGTGCAGTATGTATGTTGTTTCTAATACTGCCTTTTTTGTAGCTCTTATAGGGTGTTTTCTGAGATCTGCAACTGCTTATAGTACTGTGTGAAGTTTCTTGATAATGTTCCTAAAGCCCCAATGACTACGAGGACTACTGAAGTGTGTTTCTTCCAGAGGTGGATGTTTCCATTGCCAAGTCTCTGTACTTTGTTAGTTTTTCCAATACTTTATTTCCAACTGTGGCATCCCCTGGAATTCCAATGTCAATGATCCAAGCATTTCTTCATTCTATTACTACTATGTCTGGTGTGTTATGTTCAAAGTGTCTATCTGTTTGGATCCAGAAATCCCACAAGATCTTGACTTCCTCATTTTCTGACACCTTTACCTGATGTTCCCATGGGTTTTTGAAGACTGGCAAGTTGTTGTTGTTATTATTATTATTATTATTATTATTATTATTATTATTATTGGACTGTCCAAGCTCTCCCTCTTTCCCAGTTTTCCCTCTCTTGTTCCAGCAACCATCCCAATGTCTTTATTGAGCTCTGTCCTTGCGCAAGAGGGACAAGGGGGTAGCATTTGAAAAATCTGGCTCAGCTTTCTTTCAGCTTCTCTTCTGAAAATCGGTTATGAAAACAAACGCAAAAGAACCGATGCTGTTGATGAGGGTGCACCCTCTTCAAAGCAAAATGACGCTTCCCCTCCGTCATCTTAAAAAGTGTTGTCTCTCCAAATTTGAAGAACCTTCATGAGAAATTTTAAATAAATATTTTAGCACTTTAAGTTTTTAAATCTTGAGCTAAGTCTTGGTGGTCCATGGCAAGAAAAGATATTTAAAGGGGGTCTGTAGTAAAGAAAATGTTAAGAACTGCTGGCTTAGCTCCTGTAGCAGCATAGTGCCAAAGTGTGATATTGATCCAGAAAAAGGTAAAGGTAAAGGTTCCCCTTGACAATTTTTGTCCAGTCGTGTTCGACTTTAGGGGGCGGTGCTCATCCCCGTTTCCAAGCCATAGAGCCAGCGTTTTGTCCGAAGACAATCTTCCGCGGTCACATGGCCAGTGCGACTTAGACACGGAACACTGTTACCTTCCCACCAAGGTAGTCCCTATTGATCTACTCGCATTTGCATGCTTTAGAACCTTTAGGATGGCGAGAAGCTGGGACAAAGTGACGGGAGCTCACTCCATCCTGTGGATTTCATCTTACGACTGCTGGTCTTCTGACCCTGCAGCACAGGCTTCTGTGGTTTAACCCACAGCACCACCACGTGCCTATTGATCCAGAAGGCTGCATCTAATAGGATGTATGTTGTTTTAATGTCTGCTGGTAGCTCAGCATCCTGCCACTAGACAAGCTCACAGACCACACCCCTGCTCATGGCAAGATTTTTTTTTAAAAAAACCTTAAGCCTAGTGTTCCTGGAGATCCATTGTGGGCAAAAGGAGGATAAAACCTTGAGTGCAGAAGCCCCAAGAGTTGGATTCCATGTGTGCAAGTGTCCAGAAGGCATACTTGTGGCTGCCCATCCATTGCAAAGGAAGGAGAACAAGGAACCAAAAGAGGGGGAAGCCAT